GTGGTGCATTTAGCAGGAGAAAAATAAGTCAGCAAGCAAATTTGTGCTGGCTGCACACAAGTCATCCAAAGTTCTGTCTTTGTTAGGTCTAATTTTAATTTCATAAATCTATTTTTAATGCAGCAAACACTTCTGAGGCCACACCAGATGCAATGTCCATAATTATATATTGTTGAGCTGTTAGTCTCTGGCAGTGTATCATCAGGGTGTGTAGCAAATGTTATATCCATAGATGTTCTCTTTATTTTTTTTAAGTCACTGAAAAATGTTAAGTCAGTAAGTACTTCTATTCATTATAGCAAGTCTTTTGATTGTGCTATGGGCACAGAACTGGCCTCTAAGCCATAGAATGTGTCTCTTGCATGGGCACTGTGGAATTGTTGTCATCAAGATTGTAGGGTGCCTATCCAAACTTCCAGTGTTTGAGGTTGACTTCTCTAGACCACCTCCCTGCTTGGCTGTAATCACATAAATTTGAACTTTAAATTTTGCTTTGGAGAAGCTGAAGCAAGAAAGAAATGAAAGTAGAAAACCTGGAGTTGCAGTACTGAAAGGTATGGTCAGGCTTGCTAAAGTCTAAGTTGGAACATATAGATGTTTTAATAACAATTAATTAAAACAGCAAAGAGTCCTGTGGCACCTTATAGACGTATTGGAGCATGAGCCTTCGTGGGTGAATACCCACTTCGTCGGATGCATGTGACATGCATCCAAAGAAGTGGATATTCACCCACAAAAGCTCATGCTCCAATACGTCTGTTAGTCTACAAGGTGCCACAGGACTCTTTGCTGCCTTTACAGATCCAGACTAACACGACTACCCTTCTGATCATTTAAAACAGTTATTTTTGGCCCTGGAGTCCAAGAATCAAGAGGAAAACTCAAGTTCAGGTGATTGAGGCTCTTATTGCAGATGCCACCAACACACACAAAAGGATATGTTTCATCACACAGTTTTTTAAAAAAAATTCCAGTTTCTAATATTAGTAAAAAAGGTTTAGATCCTACAGTTAAAGTGGAGTTCACATTTTAAGATTTATCTCCTGCTTCAGCCCATAACAGAGGGTATGTCAATAATCTCCACTTCTCTAGTCTAAAGTGTCATGTTGGTTAATTGTGGCTGATGGGTAATATTTTAAGAAGTTTATACTGACACAGCATAAATTTGATGGAATCTCATTTAAGACCAGATAGAAGGGGCTGGCCGAGAGGGGAAGGGTCAATAGAACCTTGAAGAAACAAAGAAGCAATATAACGCTGTAACTGATATAAAAAGATGTAGAATAGACTCCAGTGAAAACCCATTTTAGCACATTTATCCGGAGATGCATACTTAGAATGATCATAGGGCTTACTAGAATAATTGCTAAATATCTAGTGTTTCATAAAAGAAATTAAGTACATGGCTTATGTTATTAATAATGGGAGTTCACCACTAAACTCCACGGGCTTCATACTGAAAATTGACTGCTTCATTCCTCAATATTTTTTGTTGAATAAATGAGTTTTGACTTGCAACATTTGACATCCTAGAGTTGCTAGGAATGCAATTTGTAATATTGATAGACAGTGAAAGGGTCCCTGAAGTTCAGTTGTGCATTAGGCAATATTCTCAGTACAAAAAATGATTGTGCTCTTTTCTGAAAGGAAAGGGAAGTATAAACATCCTCCCCTACTATAATAAACAACAAAAAGTTCTTAAAATGTCAGAGGGAAAAGTGGTTACTTAAGAATATGTTAATAGACTTTAAGCAGGAAAGAAGAAATTTCTATTACCCATTACCAAACAGCAGAGTCGAAAATGGATTCTCTACTAGGTGCTATATATACCATAAACATGAAGTATTATATATCTGTGTAATACTTTACTGTGATGTAAGTTATGGGAAGAAGTGGTCAAAGACTGAGTACATATTTTATGTTGGATACCTGGAAACAGCTGTGTGTGTGTGTGTGTGTGTGTACCTACGTGTGTGCATGTACACAGGGACAATGGTGTTCAGTGTAACCTTCTGTTTTGATAGGGTTTTGGTTTTCTTTCTTAAATGTACATGCTACTGTGTGTTTCTGATGAAAAAAAGGTTGAAGAATGTGGCTTGTACCTGGAATGGAAGATGCTAAGGTTTGCGATGTACCGCAGTCCCTTTGGGAGTTCATTCCACAGTTTCTGACCAGCCCCCAGGAAAACTCTGTCGCCTGCACAGATTAATTTAACCCTTGTGGATAGAGAGTTTTATTATGCTTTAGGAGCAGAGTTGTTAAGTGTGGTCTTCATCTAGGACCTTTAGATGATCTTGTACTTACTCTAGGCCTGGGCTGTTGATCACCCTGAAGATAAGGACCAATACCTTGAACTTGGCTCAATATTGGTAAGGGCAGGAACTTTCCCTCGACTGATGAGGAAAGGTAGTCATGATTCACACTAAAATAGTTATTGATTTCTTCTTATGATAAGAAGCAATAGTTAGATTCCTAGAATCCTATAATTTTATATTATAATTTATAAATTTCTAAGAGTAATATAATTTGGAGTAAAAATTATGAATTTATATATAATACTATAGAATAGTAAAATATTTCTGAATAGTGGTGGAGATAATAGGGCTGCTGCTAATGGCAGTGGTGAAATATCAAAATAGTTCTTAACCTGAATTTTAGTAAAAAGCCATTTTCATGACACGTCAGGCCAAAAGTGTTATTTCATTATTATATGAGTTGTTTAATTCTGCTCCATTACACCCAGATCTGCATTACTCTTCATTCCTAATTTACTGTTGCCTATTAAAAGTTTGTTTAGGTAATTTGTTGTTACTGCTACTAAGACATTAAAATGCCTTGAGGCTATGAAAAATAATAAATTTAATGTTTCCAAGCCTTGCCACCAGTAGATCACAATTGATAGCTTGTACTTAGCTTGTACTGTAAATCTTGGTGGTGTTTATTCTGAGAAACAATTTCTATCTTCATAGTAATTTAAAATGATGCATTTTTCAAACATTTCATTATTAAACTTTTTTCAAATGACTATTTGCAGACATAGATGTGTAGTTTGAACTCTCCAAATTGATATAATTTTTGTAAGAACATTATATAGAATGTGAATGAATAAACATATTTCCCTGTACTTCTCTCCTTTGAGAAAACAAAAGCCTTGAAACTGAGCAGTCTGAACACCAGGGACCTGATTCTCCACAGCCTTACACATTACACCTTTTCTCAAAGCAGAGAAATTAAGGCTTAAATTGTAAAGAAAGTGGTGCTCAAGCAATTTTTTTATTTTCATTTCTGACATGGCAAGTCCAGAGGTGCCAGGGCTATGAACACTGAAGCCTAGAGGTGCCAGGGCTAAGCACTGGCACACCCTAACACAAATTACACACTGGGAGAAATGTTCCAATTCCTACCTGTGCAGAGTAGTTCCCTATTGCTACCAAATCGGAATGGTAGTGTTCTATACATCCACTTTACACCCATTTTGCATAC